CCTTCCATGTCCCAGAATCATCATTCAGCCATCAGACGGCATAGTGTAAACAGATTCGAAGTACGAGGAAGCTGGCATTAACCTAAGACACGCCGTCTTATTGCACCCTTTACCCTCTCATTAACTCTGCCGACCGATAGGACCGGAATACAAAAAAAGTACAGTGATTCTGTGAAGTTTGGGGTCACCGGGATCATAAGGCTAAAGATATGGGGTTAAAAGTAGACAAGGAACGCCCCGGGCGGTTCTCACTCCAGAAAAAAATCTCCAAAACAGCCGAGTCTTTGAAAATGGTCTTTTAAAGAAAGCTCGGCGACTTATTTTTTTGAGCCTCTGGCGAAAAAAAAAATAGAACCAATTTAGATGGATCCCTTTATTTTTCTTCGAGAAGGTGGATTTGATCTTACCACAGACCTTCCATGGTCGGGGATCATTGGATCAGAGCGTAGGCCATAGAGATATTTAGTTACGTTATTTTGTTGCGACAATGATCATTTTTGTCAACAGTTTTACTCTACATTAAATCGGAAAAAAGTGGTTTTTTTTTGCCTTTCAGTGAAATCGAATCGGGCTAAGGGCTTCCTATTTTTTCCTTTCAGTGAAATCGAATCGGGCTAAGGGCTTCCTATTTTTGAAACAGCACAGTTAAGTGTTTATTGTCAAAGCAAGTCGTCTACGTTGAAACTTCTCTGACCAGTTTGCATCAACCTTTGTTTTCTGGAAAATTACCGACCGCTTAAAATTGGAAACTTTCTGGTGATTTATTGCAAGCTTTCTTCTAGTGAGGTGCGATGTTCAGGTTGTGCAACTTGTTTTTCAACTTGAGGCCATTGAAGTGACATTGTACCCGTGTGCAGTAGCAGAATTGTTGTGTCCTTTAGTAAGATACTTTACTTAAATAATTGCCCGACACAAGGAGTAAACAGGTACCTTCCAAAACATATTGGATGTGTGCTTGGTGTCGGACACGCCAGATAGAGCCAGGATGAACGCCTTTATGTTGCCTTGTCTGATTCCCATTGGTTCAAAGCCCTATGGTACTTTGAAAACAGCGGCATGTGACTGCAAATGTGAAGTGTTTAACTTCTGTTTTGCTTCTTGTGCGTGTCGACTTCGCTGTATAGCATGATCATCACCACTTGGTAAGTTGGTATACCTGGTGGCTGCCGTACATTTATGAAAGTACAGTCGTCCCCGACCGGCGCCCTTGTGGTAAGGTGATATCTCTACGGACCAGATTATAAAGCAATCCCAGAATAACACCATGTTTAAACTTGACCTTCCCACACCACTTTGTGGGATTGCGATCAATCGGGGGCAGCGTGCGGGCTGAATGGAAGGCGGGGATCAACTCGCGTAATCCACCTGTACCGGTACAGGTCCACGGCTCCGAACATTGTTGGGAACTCTACTGGGGTTTGAGGTCTTTCCTGCTTGGTCCTTTCCACATTTTCCCCTTCGCACGAGGTTGGATAAGACACCCGTTCAGGAACCTGACATATTAGGACTCGTTCCCAAAACTGTTCCCAGTGTAACTTGTTTAGTGATCGCGGGTCTTTGATGCCAGGTTCCCCCTTGACCCAGATTCTGTTCAACCTTTAGTCGGTGTCAAGTCTTGGGAGAATTGCGTGCCAACCACAATGACGTACGTTGTGGCAGATATTCAGCGATGAAACTTGTACAACCCCGAGTATGAAGTTATTAAAATGCTACTGCGGCAGTTCTTTGCAGTATTCCAGACTGCTTTAGTGAGCACTTTCTGCAAGGCTTCTACAGTCCATACTTGCTTTTGTTTATGTATTAACAAATAAAAGGGAAATGAATTTGGTCAATGCCAGACATCACAGTATCAAGTCAAGCAAATGAGCTGTGATGGGCTTTCTTTTGTCATTGTAATTTCCATTTTTACTTGGGCCCTTATTGTGACATGTCTTGTGACTGATGACTTGAGACTCGCTCGTGGTGGACTTGTCTGAATAAAAGGTCATTGCCAGAGCGCCCTCAAGCGGTTCATGACTATTGGTAATCGGATTACTCGCTCTGTTGATATTGCGACTTTCCAAATAAAGTCCAGATCAAATTTAGAGTTGCTGGGTAGGCATTACATTCACTGTGTGGACTTCCGAACAAAAGAGGTCCACATAAACCAGGTAGAGGCGACGTTGTGTGGACTTGGGCAAGGCCACACAGTGTTTCCCCATTTCTGGAAGAAACGGGATTGGAGGCATTTGTGGGAGGTTTATCTGTGGCAGAATGAAGAGAAACACTAAAGGGAATCATAGAAAAAAAATTGGGTTGAAAGAGTTTTCACAGTTTGAGAAAAATGATTTTTTTCACTGTTTTTTCTTAACTACACGAAAGCAATGGAATGTCCACACTTGGTATGTAACATAAACATGTCTGTATACACGGTGCAGCAACTGACCAACCTGGGTTTTCTATTGGTTTTTAAAGTTCTGTATCGTCGGGGTCATGGAACTTTTTTTTTACCCCAAGACGTGTTTTCCTGCAGCATATGGGTGGGAGGGGAACTCGGAATGGCCCGGCCGCGGCATATGGGCTGGGCGGGGAAGTTGGGACAGCTTCGTGCCCGCCGCTTACACGAACGCATCGCTGGTCTCACCCTGGGCGGTACAACGCCTCACACCTTCGCCCGTAGTATTCGGCCCATCTACTGGGTACAGGATTTTTCTTCTGCAACCAAGTATAGTCGCCTATCATGCATGCATGACGTATGCATGAAACGTATCACGTGATTGAAATAATATATCACGTGGTTTAAAATGGATCTTTAAGATGTATATTTGAAATGGAAGCGGCACGTGGACCAGTGGGTATTTTTATTCATATTCTGGACGTCAATGGTTCGAATCTCACCGAACACCTGTTTTTTTTGCTCTTTAATTGTAATTTTCTTTCTTTAATCTCGCTATATCAAGCCCTATATACATTTTAATGATATAAATTGTACATTTCATTACCGATTCGTAGCTCTTCAAGATTTTTAAAGGTAAATAATATCCAAGAATCAATCCTTTAACAACTGACGCATGCGCATCATGGTAACTGACTATACTTGGTCGCACAAAAAAAAGAAACCCATTGCCTACCGGGCGTGTTTGTCGCTAGTTCGCCGCGCCTTGTGTGACGGAGCTTCAGAAGAGAGGAGGGGGTGTTCATGAGAACACCGTCCCGTTATCATCTGACGATTCCCGCCGAGATAAAGAAATTGGGAAGTGTGGAAGACCGACAAATTTCGATAACAGAGTGGAGGGGAGAGACAGTTTGTCAAGATTACCAAGAAAGGCATGAACGACAATCATTCCGCTCTGACACACTGTCTTTGGCTTTGAATGAAATAGGAATTGTGACAAAGAGGAACAAGTTTCTTGTGGTCGAGGAATTCCTTGAGATATCACAGAGTCACAGAGATTAACACCGTCAATATATTTTGAAAAAGTGACCTATAGCAAAACTTGAATTCAACAGATAGCATTCACAGATATCATTCTTAGTGATGCAGAGATAACGTGGTAATAATAAATTACGGGAAATTGTACATTAGGGAAACATTCCTATAGGGTTGTGTACAAATGTTTTCCAAATTGTATGACCCCTAACCCCAATTTTCCCTTATCCTACCCCCACGCATTTTGGTTTATTTATTTTTTGTAAGATTTTACCTCATAATAGGAGTTCGGTTGTGACATTAGGGAGACATTGAAATGTCTACCTAATGTCCGCGTGTCTCTCTAAGGTATAACGTATGACGAACAAATATCTCCTTAAGGTATAACGTATGACGAACAAATATCCCTTAAGGGTACATTAACAGGAATAAGAGAGTACATGTAATAATGTTTTACAAATAAAATATGGTTATTACAGTGTGTCGCTTTGCATGCGGTGATAGTACACATAGGCCTCTAATAGGCAAATTCTTACGGATGGAGCACAGACTTTCACACTGTACATAGGTATTACACACATTAGGTTTCTCAGTTCATTTTTGCCACTGTGTTATGACAGGTTTTTTTTTACCAACGTTTATCACGTCATGTTCGTATTTTGCTTGTCCAAACAAACCAACGGAAATTATTCCTTCTAATTTAGACCAACCGAAGACCACACTGGACGTGCTCTATTTCTTAACATGGCCTATGGCCGCCGTTACACATCATCAAAGTAATACTCGGGGCACACTTTAATGTACCTGAAACAAATCTTAGGTGCTTAGGTCGTGGTTCTTGGGAGCTGATCGTGCATGCAGCCGGTAATGCGGCGTGTCGGTAGCCTCATGTGCCGGCCGTAAGCTGCGTCAAGCAGCAGGCACACACGAGCGGAACTTTGCCCCGAACGTGATGGTAAACTGGGGCGCCATTGCGTAAATCACTTGTCTCTAAAACTAAAAAGTTCATAGGAGTTGTCAAAGCGTGAGCACAACCTCGGCCCCATGGCGTCGAGCAGTACGCTGCCACTGGCTGCTCTCTACTATTGTCTCCACGTTGAAAGTAGACCATGGGAACGAGGCATGAACGAGGACGTCCGTAAGGTGGCAAATATTGGGCCGATGAGCTCCGTTTTCGGTCGACAAAAGCCTCGGTTTGAAGTCTCTGAGAAATCAAATTGTAATTTTGTGTGACAAAATCTATACTACCATTGACATAGAAAAAAAACAGGACACTCGTAGTTTCAATAAGTATTTGATACATTCTGGTCGGCAGTGATAGCTCAGGAATAGGGATGCCGTGGGGTGAAATGTGATTACTTGCGTCATGCTGACGATCACTGACATGGTTGTCGGCCATGTTGTCGACGGTTTGTGTCTTGCATGCAGTGCACGGGTTCCTCTTGATTGTTGCAATGTGTATGAGGGTGATTAACTCTTGGACCATTTCATGGTATTGCATTGCAGCCAATGGATGCTTACACTCATCAATAGACATTCGACTAATCAAATATATTGTTATTCTTTTTTTTACTTGCTATTTTTTCCCCAGACGCCTGCGGGCTTTCGGACGCTGCACACGTTGAGAACTTACAGGAGAAGTCCCAGTGCGCCCTGGAGGAGTACGTGCGAAGCCAGTACCCGAACCAGCCTAACCGCTTTGGCCGTCTCCTCTTGCGCCTCCCCTCCCTCCGGACCGTGTCGTCACAGGTCATCGAGCAGCTATTCTTTGTCCGGCTGGTGGGCAAGACGCCCATAGAGACTCTCATCCGGGACATGCTACTATCCGGGAGCTCCTTCAGCTGGCCGCCATCTTACATGACCGTGCAGTGATAGCCAGGGTCACCGTAGAGGGCGTGTTGCCATAGCTACACCCCTGTAGTGACTGGAAGGAAAAGAAAACAAAAAAATATATATATAAAAAGAAAGACAATCCACGACAACATGAAGAACTGCGAGAGAAATCCATGAAATGAATCTCTCTTCAAAAAGCAAATTGTTTCCATGTTAGGTCCAAGTTTACTTATAAAAAAACGTCCGAGCTAGGCCTACATTGATGCTGGCATCCGAATAGAGTGCGCCGGGAAAGAGGCCTCGTGGACCTACACGCATAAAATGCGTTAACCGTTGCAGAGTTTCTGTTCTAACCAAACAGAATCCAACTGCTGAATCTGTAAGGGGAACTTCTCGGTGTAGTTTATGTCATACTTCATGAAATGAAGTCTCCTATACACATAGTGGTTGAGTAGTCATTAAATCTTATAAAGGTCTCCAACTAGGGCAGGTTGCTATTGGCTTTTAAATACCGCAGTGGTTAGAACTGATCTCTTAACGCAGATTTCTGGGACTACTTCGTGAATGAATGAAGAAGAAAAAACACCCCAAAAAAACCAAAAAAAAAAAAAAAAAAAACACGCCGGTGATTAGACACAACGCTCGCAAGTCTAAGGTTTATCAAACCCATCCAGACTTTTTCAGCGAGACTTACAAGGTGCCAACATTTTCATACATTAGGTAGAATAATAGAATTGATTGGAGGAAGCGCTTGTTTCCAATGTTGGGAAGACCCCATTCGCGAATGGGTACATACACGGCCTTGTCAAATGGCAACCCCCAGCCCAAACCCGAATGGGTAACTCATTGAAGTGCCCTACTTATTAAGAACTTAACTGGCTTACCATAGAAAACATGGTGTGAACTGAAATGGCTGCATTATATAGATAATTTTGTTGCTTCGTACTGACTAAGAAGGCTTTTGAAATTACAAAAACAATATAAAAAAATGACTGTGCGAGTTTGTGCGAGTGATGATTTGATCGTGAGACTTGAAAAGTCAAAGTGTGTGTGTGTCATCTGTCTGCGTGCAATGCTGTGATGTCTTAGGGTGGGGTATATTTAATTGATTTTTTTTCTACAGTCTCTACGTTTGGGACTGCAATATGTAACAGTCACTTACATCCGGGCTCTTTAATTGATTCGATGAGCGAGTAAAATAACATATTTTGAAATATCTGTTCAGTTCGTACTGAAGTAAAACACACTTGCTAATTGTTTTTTCTAACGACATATAGGTTTCATTCGAGCCAAGATGAAGAGAACACAGTTTACACGCTTGGACGCACTAAGAACAAGACTAATGTTTAAAACGTGTGTGTCAAGGCCATTAAATATGGATTCCACCGTCATTTTCTCAAGAGCTTTCCATTGGCAATCATTATCGTTTTGCGTTGGTATAGCTGAATGATATATGAACTGATTAAATAACATTCAGCATATTGCTGCACACCATTTGGTTGAAAAAGGGTATACAATGTATAAAAAGGAAACACTTAGAAATAGGAATACCTCTAAGGTTGGCGACATGGAATAGAGGTTTCCATGCAACAGACCCAACACAAACGAATGTTGTACCAGTATAGGCTAAAACAAATGACCAAGTTTACCTCCATGGGCACTCCGTTGAACACAGACCATCTCAATTTGGTCTGATACCCAATCTCTGTTGGCTCTGATTTGAAACCCAATTTATGTGTTGGGATAACTTTGATACGTTCCCACTGCTTGTTCCCGTTATTGAAAATGGCGGAAACAATAAGGACTGAAGTGGGGGGGGGGGGGGGGGGGGGCACACAGCAACATTCGCAACACGTAAGAATAATGCATGAATTAAAACAAGTACTGAAATTCGATGGAACGTATATGAAATGTGAACTCAATTTGAGTCCACGCGAGTTGATTTTTTTTACTGATGTAAACAGTGAGAGTGAATGAGAGAGAATTTTGTACATAAATTGAAAAGTAAATAATACAAATCATATTCATCCACCTTTATTAAGATGCTTTTTTTTGTTTAAAAGCGACTGCCGTTGATCACTGCTAGTTAAAATGTTTTCCATTTTGTTTGTTTTTGATTTCTGTTTTGCTGCTTTGTTTCCGAGCCAACTTAGAAGGTTGCATTTTTGTTTTGTTTCATGAATATTCATATTTTGAATGTTCACTTTTAATAGTTTGAATCTTGCATACTTTTGAAATCATTACGATCCGTAATCATTTTGTGCTTTAATTATAATTTTGACTTTTTTTTTTAATGTTTTGATTTTTTTTTTAAAACATATATATGCCATGTTCTTGCTATCGGAGGGTGTGTTTTTCGGGAAATCGGGGAGAAAAATCAGCGCTTGCAAATTTTCCGAATTAATTGGATTTTTTTTTTAAGTGTGAGCGCCGTAATATTAACTGTAATAAATTGTAAAAGTTGCAAATTAACTTTAAAATAACCCGCTTTGTACTAAAAACTGCCACAGCTGAAATAAAAGTACAATACTGTCTGTTCTGTATAGTTTGAAACATGTTTGTGATTTTTAGATATGATAAGATTTGTACCCTGATTTCTGGGGCAGGGAAATCTCAAAATGGTATAAGTGAATTTCGATACATTTTTTAAACCTGAAATATTTGGTGTTTCATAATGTTTCCGGTAAACAATTTGTCTGATTATTTTGCGTTACCATGAAAAAAAGGTTTTCCACAATCTTTAGAATATTGTCAAAGAAATTAAAGGATCATGTTTTGCCGTATTGTACGTATTGGCATCGAAATCTATTTTTTAATCGATTGGGAAAAAGACAAGTTTTAAACGTGTTATGTTCTCCCATGTAGTCGGTTGAAAGGAAAACCACACCCTTAATATATTGCAGCTGGAGCAGAGAATTTGAAATGAAATAATTTTTTTTATTGGCAGATATTTAATTAGCCTTTCTTTTTTTGATGTGTTATTTAGGGTGAAACAAACAATTCCAAACGCGTGTAGAATAAAGTTCGTTTTGTATCTGTGTTGCTTTAAGAATTGTCTAGTTTAGAAACACTTCAAAAGTGCGATGTGGTGATTTTTCTTTAGAAATGGACTGCGGCTCTGGGATATTTTGTGGTGCTCTTTTATGTGCGTTCAGATGAAACACATGGCTAGCTTAACGTTAGAAACTCTTATGCCTAACCAGTGATTAAGAATTGATGGAAAACCATAATGATGGGGTAGTTAGAGAAACGGAACAAAAACGCCCAAACGTTGTAAGATGTTTCTAAAAAGTTCCTTTCGTCCTTTTGGAACGCTGTCCGGATTATTACGCGTTATAGTTGAATTTGCATAGTGCGCTATGTGTAGGGCTAAACGCCATGCTGGAAAGATAGGCATAACATTAAAGCGCTATGTTTATCATCGTTTATACAGCACCAAAATTATATTAATTGTACTATAATATACAAATTAAACAAAATTGTTATGTTTATAGGTAGCTGTAGATCAATTATTTTTGGCTATGTGAACATGTAAGATACTCATACACATACAATGTGCTGTATGTATTTATGTATATGCTAATGCGTATGTAGCGTATACTTATATATACATATTTACATATTTTATATGTATACATAAATATATGCGCATATCTATAAATATGCATATTTATATACACACAGGAATATATGTATCTATATACCCTGCCAGTGGACATGCCAATATTGTATTTTGTCTATAGCAGTGTTTTAGGATTGTTTTTGTATTGTTTTTATCAACTATGTCTAAATCATAGGCCCTAGTTACGTTGTATACTCCTTTAGACTTTTACTATTCCAAATAGTCGGCCATGTCTGTTGTTGTATTTTGCTGTTTTGTACAAAAAAAAGAAACTGGTTAAAAACCAGAGTGTAAGGGATTTTATTTGTCTGCAGAACATTTCTGATATGCCGTAAGGCCGTTTGTTGCCAGGGTGGAGTTAGAAAAGGTGTTGCGTATTTTTGTATTCAGTGAAATTAATGAAGGCAACGAAACACACAAAATCCATCTTTAGTTGAATAAGACTGGCGCCTTGAATAGGGGGGGGGGGTATGTAATACGTCAGCTGGTGCGTGGAGGCGTGTCGCAAGACTTCAGGTAGCAAACATTATGGTAAACAACTATACAATTATGTCGAAAAAATATCATCACCACTGTTAGGGTACATTTTGATATCTTCATGTCTTTCGAAAAACAAAGTGAATTCCATTATTCTTTCTTGCACTCAATCTTTTTATTTTCATTTTCCATTTTTTTTTTGATTTTTTTTTTTTAGAAAACTACATCTTTTGAACCTCACAGCTATGTCGGCCAAGCCGTTGATAAGGTTAATCGTTTGGTTAAGTCAAAGGTCAAATCGGTACCTCTCCTTTTCTCGATCGACAAATCAGTGAGGTCTTATCAGTAGTGATCAAACGCCATAAAAAAAACCATCAAAACAATCTTGGCATCATTACAATTTTAGAGAAAACAGGTAACATGGTTACTCACTTTTTTTCTCGCTCCAACGTCTCTGTCTCTACAGGTTTTAAACGTGTCCACATGTGTCCGAGACACACTTCATGGCAGTAATAATAAAATGAAGAATGTACCAAGTTTGGGGGAATGCAGATATTCCAGATTGTTCTCCTCTCTGCGTTTATTTTGTGCTTGTCTCGAGCGTCTTAAATCCTATGAGGTCTGAAGACACAATCAAACCTATCAACAGTACATGCATATTGACGCCAAAGACCCCAAAATAGGATTAAACATAGTAATTTCCCTCCCTCCAAAAAAAAATAATAAAAAAACCTTAAATACCGCCCCTTAAATGGATACTGGGAAAACTGATTTTCCTTGGGTTTGTGCAATATCTTGTAGCGCTTTTGATTATAAAAGCGGTAAGGGAGGGGCGGTGGGATAAACAGCAACTTTAACTAAATACTCCAGTGGACAAGACTTTTTTTAGCTACTCGACAATGTTAAAATCGGGGTCCCTTATTTGTTAGCAACGATTTTTGTTGGTGCCGGTGGGACAACGTAAAGCCCTCTTTGCACCTATCTCACTGACTGACTGACTGACTGACTCACTGTCACTGTAACTTGTGAATTAGACTAGCTTAAGTCTGACCTTGGCCCAAAAATTTGAGTCAGATGACTACGTAGATCCTTAAGGCCAGATTGGTCTTTTTGTCTCTCCTTTCTCTTGAGGCTTGAGCTCAGCATAGGTCCATTATGATTGTCTACCACAGGGTTGTAAACGTCGTTGCCGTCAACGCCCATAGTATTTTCATTAAATAATCCTATAGAGTCGAATGCAGAGCACATGATGACGAGGTTTAGAAAATAATGTTGTTACTTTCCTGTAGTTCAAGTCTGTACACAACCCTTTTCTGAAAGATTTCTTTGTCAGCCTGTTTGTGGGGCCTTAATTAGTCGACGGATTTGGGGGCTGAGGAACTTCAATTCGATTCCAGGGGTCCTGTTGAGCGCTTTAGGGGTGGTTTGTTTAAGAGGGGAGTTTCTCGAAGTTGAAAATTAAAAAAAAAGAAATATGCCGCCATGACCG